ATTCTACACTTTTCTATTTTCGGGTCTGTTTTCAGCTATTTCTAGCTAAAATTGCGCTATTATAGAAACTTTTTAAAATAATTTTAAGTACATAATCTGCTATTTTCAACTCTATTTTCAGCTATTATTAGCTAAAAAAAATAGCCAAAAAATAGCAGTGGATTAATTTTAAACATTTTCTAAAAAATTCGAATGATTTTCTATCCTGATTTCTAAAATAGAGGCTATTTTGGCGCTATTCTCGAGCTATTTTCTATTTTTTAAAAGTGCTAAACTCAGATCCTGCACCTTCATGCCAATTTTTGAAATATGGCCAATTTTTTCCTATGTTCTGCTATGGAGTTATGAATGACATTTTTGGTGCCAGTGAGATACTGAGATGCCAATCTAACATATTTAGGTGTACAATGGGAAGAAATGCTCATTATTCCCATAATTTCTAAAATATGGCCAATGAAGAAATATCCAATATGGCGGACTGGCCAGTCAAAAACGAAGCCCCTACATGGCCAATTTTTGCACAGTCCACAGTAATGGGGGTGGGGCAGATTTTTGGATGGAATTGGCACAAACTCAATCACAAAGTGCCTTCAGACCTGTGAATATCTCCAATATTCCAACATAATGGATTTTCATGCCTAACTCTGTCACTGGCCAGTCAATGACGAAGCCCCTACATCTATCATATTCATCTCTTGATTGGGATCTGGTTGTGGCTTAGACCTTACAGCTTACGTTGTCAGTGCCACTTACTGTATCATCTTCGTTGCTCTCCAAACTGTTGAGTTTCTCTTGGGTTTCACAGGATTTGCATGGTCCCCGGCTTAGTGCATCGGTATTTATGTGCTCCGCGCGGCTTCTGTGTTCAATAGTCATGTTGTATGTTTCCATTTCCTCTAGCTATCTTGCTGTCTGCCCAGTTGGTCTTTTTAAAGATTTCATCCAACTTACTGCAGAATTGAAGGTTCGGAGTAGTACATCCTGACCATAGGAAATACGAATGAAAATTCTTCAATGCTGTGATAACGGCTAGCAGTTCTTTTCTAGTCACGCAGTACTGTTGCTCATGTACGTTCATTGCTCTTGACATACATGCAACGACCCTCTCTAAACCATCATCATCGTATTGAGAGAGTACAACACCGACAGCTTTTCCACTTTTCTGTATCAAGTATAAATAATTTTCTTGGGATCGGGTATGCTAGAATTGGTGTGCTGGTGAGTGCTTCTTGGAGTCTTACAAATGATTCTTCACATTCTGGAGTCCATGTAAATATTGCTTCTTTTTCGCATATCTTATGCAGTGATCTAGTAATATGAGCCAAGACCAAGACCGCTTCTGACGTTTTTAGCCATTCTAGGCAGAGGTCAGACATTTATTGCTTTTGTCTAACCTTCCCAAACTCCAAGATCCTCTTCACATGTATACCCATTTCAAATAAAATCTCGAAGAAAGCACAACAGAACCTCAGCACCCTCAACAACATGATGATGGAGTCCAGTATCAACAGCGCAACAATCTTACCACCCTACGAAGAAGAATTCGAAACAGTTGATAATCTTCATTGGTCTCCAGAAACAGCAAACAGCATTTATTTGTTT